TGGGATGATGCTGCTTTCTGTATTAAGGAAGCGCAATGGGACGGGGATACGACTGCTTTAGACCCCGTGTGATAAGGTCCTCAGAGAGCTAGTGTGGTGTAGTGGCTTAAATATTGGTCTACAGCTCTAGAGAACAGGGTTCGAATCCCTACTTAGCCATGGAAAACCACCAGGTGATCTTGGGCAGGTCATACTTTTTCAGCATCAGGAGGAAGGCAAAGGAAGGGTGCGAGACAGAAATGCATCTCTTATCATAAAGCTGAATCTCTTGTTTATAATATGGCCTCCTGATCCAATCCAACACAGTCATGGGGACTTTTCTCCTTCAGTAGGCATACAACTGTTCTCCAGAAACCTCTGCTAGTTTCCTGCCCCACCATGAACCTGCAACCTGAAATAGCTGCTTCTCTTTGTCCAGTGGCAGGATTGGCCCTATAAATGTAGCTCTGCCTCCCTTTGTCATTCACCTTAATAATTTACAGAAATCTGAAAGGAAAAAAATGACTGGAAAACTTTGAGAAGAGGATGTTGGTGTAAGCTATATTTGAAGTAGGTAAAATGAAAATGAATTGTTCCCTCCTGCAGCAGGTTTGCAATTGTTTTTTGTTTTTCATTCCAGAAGGGATCCTGTGAATAAAGCTGCCAATCTTTGACCTTGGGATTACGAACAGAACGGGAAAATGGCATCTTATCATGTGCTGCTAAAAGATCCTGACATTTAAGTGCATGAAGCTTTTCACAGCATGGTGCTCCATTTGCCAAACACATTTGGCAAATTGTGGTAAGTGTGGATATGCTAGGACAGCAGAGTGATTTTGGTGAAAGTGGCAAGGCCAATGTGAAAGAGCATTTTGTAAAGAGATGCTGCAGATCCAGTTGCTGTTAAAATGTGGAGTTTGGAAAAATCAACTTTTTTGGACTACAACTCCTGTGCAACTTTTCAGAGCATTGGTGAAAATCCCAGATAGTAGCCAGGTGAAAAGTTGTCATTTCCATGCTCCTATACCTTTGACAGAAGTTTACAACAGCATTATGGCTGTAAAGAGATGGGGAAACTCAATCTGTTTCATTTCTCAAAATGGTTGCGAGCTTCACACAAAATGGAGCTGCAAAGCAGCCTTTTGTTAATGGTGGCCAAGACCTAAATTTCAAAGACAGAACAAATGTGGTTCCGATCTTAAAAACTGAAAGTCAGTCCATCTCTACTTTTATCCAAATAGCCCGCGGGCCATCCAAAATATCTGAATAAATAGGAATTGTGACATTTTCCCAGCACTAAAACCACAACAGTTTTAGGCACCTCCCCTGGCTCCAGTGAGAGGATTAGTTATGAGGACTGTATGAAATGTTTTTGTCCACATGTCACAGTGACACCACTCTCATCCATTATAAAAAAGCAAATCTTACACTTAACTCTTTTTTCAGAGGGGACACCCTTGAAAACAGCTGTTTTCTCAAGGTTTTTTTTTTTTTATAAAATGATATGCTTATGCAAGAGAATCTATGTTATTTCCTTGAATAACCTGCTTGTGTGTGTTTTCTGGTTGAATTGGCACCTTCCATCTTTAATTCAGTGCTATATATTCGATGCGTTGCCAACTTTAGAATAGCTTTTGCTCTTCTTTCTTTAACATCAGCTTGATAAATACAGTCATTGGCAGGGAGATGTGTTTATTCCACTGTATTAGAGCCATAGAGGCCTTCAGCTGATTTCTGCACATGAAGCTTTGATTAAAGGCACAGTCTTTGCCAAGGCAGTTATTTCCCTGGTCACTTGGTGACCCTAGGAGGGATGCTGACTTGCGTCTTGCCAACCAAGTCTGTTTCCCCCCAAATATTATTCACTGAAGTGATGTATTTAATGTTAGATGTATAGATCCAAGATTACAGCAGCCCAAACAAAAAGACAAAGGAAAGGGTTATTCATGACTACAAATGGCTAATGTTATTTACCGGCACATGATGTCTTGAGCGGAGTTCAATTTGTAACAGCAGTTAATCATCCCTGTCTTTCACAAATGGGAGATCATGCTTGACTGCAACAAAATTAACCTCTTCAGATTCTCGGTCCAGGAGATCAAAACACAAAACAGTAAAGTTCGAATTCTGGGGTCTCTGAAGTTAATATAACCTGAGGGAGTTGGAGAGAGATCACACAGTTTTAACAGAGCGTGACTATTCTGACAAAGCTTCTTGGACTGTGTTAAAAACAAAACAAAACAACAATTCTTGCTAAATCCCAATCTTGCTTTTGTCAAAAAGTTTTCTCATAGAATTACTGTGCAATCCTGTTTACTCAGTATTCCCTTGAGTTCAACAGGATCTGCTGACAACTGGGTGTGTATAGGATTGCAGCCCAAAGTTCAAAACACACTGCAGAAATAATCCAATTTGAGACTGCTTTAACTGCCTTGGTTCAATGCTAGGGAGTTCTGGCAGCTGTAGTTTTGTAGGGCACTGGATGCAACTTGTTCTCCTACCTACTCCCTCAATGGAATTGTTTGTGACTGTGCCTTCACTCTCTTACTTGACTGACATATTGAACTGTCTTCTCCTCAATTATTTTTGTGGGATTGTACTATTTCCTTAAAAGTATTGAAATCAATGTTTGTAAAGCACAGAGTGAAAGTTTGAGTGCATCCAACATTTCTCTTCCTCAGAAGCGTAAGGAATGTTACTCAATACAATGACAGTTTTTTGTAAATTGGAACATAGATGTCCTATGTACCCCTTGGTATGGTATGTCTGATACCAGGAATCAGGCTGTTTCCCTTACTTAGTATGTAGTGTGAAATGGTAAAAAAATGCCTATGCCAAAACACAAATACATTGAACTTAAGAGTGATGCTGTTCAGAGTAATGGCATGGACAAGTCCTTCTCAGCTTCAGCCCTCCAAATATTTAGGACTTCAGCTACCAGAAGGGCCAGTTAGCATAGCCAACCATCAGGGATTTGGGAAGCTGATGCTTACAACATCTGCAGGGCTAAAAATTAAGACCTGTGCTCTGCTTCTAACAAAAACCCATGTGACGGTTCGAGATAGCCAGCTTCTCACAAAATATTCCACTAAAGAGGAATTCAAACAAATAGCTAGCACATGTAGGAGTAAAGTCAGGAAGCCCAAAGTGCAGAATGAGAATTCTGAAATGCCTCCTGGGCAGGAATCTGAAAATGAGGACATGGTCTGGAAAAGGAGGACATTGGTTACCCTTCCAGATGTCCTAACTCCAGAGGAGAACAAGGCACTGCAAAATGTAGGATATTCAAGGGGGAGGGGAATGGAGAACACGACCAAAGGAAAGCTAAAAACTAAGAAATGCTGAAAGTAGAGGACATTTTGGAATCCCTCATAGAAAAAAGGTTGAAATATAGGATGGGTCTCAGAAAAGGAGGACACCTGGTCACCCTGCCAGATGTCCTAACCCCAAAGGAGCATAAGGCACCGCAAAATATATTTTATTTATTTATTTAATTTATATGCTGCCTTTCTCCCCGAAGGGACCCAAGGTAGCTCATAATGTAGGGCATGCAAGATAAATATGATGTGCAATATATATATATATATATATATATATATATATATATATGA